GTCTAGCTATTGTGAATTGAGCTGCTATAAACATTGATGTGGCTGCATCACTATATTATGCTGATTTTAAGTCTTTTGGTTAAAGGAGTGGGATAGTTGAGTCAAATGGGGGTTCCATTCCCAATTTTCTGAATTTCCAGAATCTTCATACTGCTTTCCATAGTGGTTGCATAAAGATTGCTCCAATCTCCCACTCTCCAGGGATTTCCTTAGCAATGTGCATTCAGCTTTTACTCTGCACACTACCATTCAAACAAATGCATATTTAAAGCTAAAGGAACTGGGGTTAGGAGTAAAAGCATTTTATGAATCTAAACCACTATTATATTATTAAGCCACAAGTACAATTTGATAGTTCACTCAGACATTTATAAGACTTGACTGATCTCTAAACGCATTCTGCAGATCCAATCTACATCCATTTGTAGCTAAATGAGTACTTAGCCCATGATAATCCAGTGTCCTCTGTCCCAGTCAAGCAGAATAGATGGCCTTCTTTAAGGTGGATTCTCCTTATAGGAGTCATTTTGGACAATGTTTTTTATTCATTTAACTGACTCATTGTTCATGCATATATTAATTTATATCCATACTAACTAGATATGCAACTGATACCTAAGAAATATTGCCTAAACCAATGCAAAATGCTGAGTGGAAAAAATAGTGGAACAAATGTTTATTTTCAGGAAATTCTAGACATACAAGCAAAGAAAATAAAACAAAACAATATAAATGAAAAGTAATATTATCAAATCAAAAATTCAAGGACTGAATTAGATAACACAGTAACAAATGCTGAGCCAATAGAAGGGGATATTGCTGAGGGCTGCAATGGTCAGGGGAAGAAGTTTCATGTAAGGAGTGACTGCTGATCTGAGATTTAAAGGTTAAGAACAAGTTCAATGGGTGGAGAGGAGGCTACTTCAAAGAAGACCACTATGTGAGCAAAATCAAGGAGTCAATGGATACATGGGATGTGACAATGAATGGACCATGATTGGCTCAGCTGGCTAGCAAAGTAATAGGTGTCTGGTTTGAAAAAATAGGTTCAAATGGATGATTTATTCTGCAGGTAATGAAGAGTAAGGCAGAAATTTGCTGGTTGACACCAATACTCACTTCCCCCAAATTCAGTGGTCATAGAAAACTTCCTGATTTAACTGGATGAGCATCCAGAGCAAGGAGTATTTGCAGCTGTCCCTTAGAGCTGTGCAATGGGAATGGAAGTGGTGTCTCTTCTGGGTATGTTCTTAAAGGAAGAGCCATGTGCCTCTTCCTCTTTAATTTTTTCCTTATCCAGTCTGCTACTTGAAATGTGGAGGTAAAGTGTGCTATTTGGAAGTGTGTTATTCAGGGTACCTCAGGGTATCAGACTATATAAATGTGTTATTCAGGCTACCTCACTATATCAGACTAGTAGGACAGAAGGAGACTAAGCCCCAAACATCTTCAGACTGCCATACTTTGGGCTAATCACACATGTGTTTTATGAAATATAAATTCACTCCTATTTGGCTTAATCTATTGTCTTTTGAGGTCTCTAACAACTCAGTTAAACCCAAGTGTTGAGCTATAATCTCTTTATAGTCCTCAGGGCAGTCAGATTAGAATGGCCAGTGGTCTCTGACCTTCGTTTACCCCACCATGCTGAATGAGTGAGATATACACTAATGAACTGAAAAGTTCTGTCTTACATAAAACAGGCAATCCCTGGATGTGTAAGGAATGAGAGAATAAGAATTGTGCTCTTCAAGAATTTTAATGACATTTAACAGATGCATGTGGACCAAGGTTAGAAATGGGAATATCAGGAGATGGGATCTCTAGGAGAGAGGGGCAGGAAGGAATTTGTTGAGGTGATGATAATATTCTGTATCATGATTGTGCTTGAGGTTACATGAGTGTGTGTGTGTGCATGCGTGCATAAGTGAAAACTGTACACTTAAAATTGATATTATATATGTATGTATGTGCATATATCAAACCTCAGTAAAGCTGATTCAAGTAATTAATTTGGCTCTGCATGTGTACACAGATACATCAGTAGGAGGTCATAGATAGGGAAAGAGCAATGTATGGCTTCAAATCTTTAGATAATTTCTGGGTTTACAATAGGAAGAATGAAATTAGAAAGACTAAAGTGTTAATTTGAAGGAAGAAGTAGTAGAATTTGGAGAATCATTGGACCCGGAGATATTGATTTTATGTAAGAAATCTATTTTTCTATGTAGAGAGTCAGCTGAGCCTCACCACAGGCTGATGAAGACACCACAGGCTGATGAAGTCACAAAGAGGAGAGGGAGGAAGAAGAGCTGTGGCTCCTACTTGTTAGATAAATAGTATCTCTGAGTCCATTAATAAAATGGGACTGATAATGCTTACAAATTGCAAAAACATTCTGAAGAGCAGAGGCAATACATGCAAAGTGTCTTTCATGGTGTGTCTGTTACTCAGAGAAAGATGGATTGCAATTAACACGTTAAAATAGAAATCTAATGAGCTTTCAAAATGATCAAAGATTCTCCCATACTTATTTCTAAGGTGTGCTTGGATGTGAGGGTATTTCCCTCACATTTTTATTAGAATTCAGTTCTGAGGAAAGATGAATTCACTTTTAAATCGCAGGATGATGATAACAAGGGGGGACAGTTAGGCAAAGCAACATAGTATTTGGCAGTATTTCTTAAAAGGGGGCAGCTCCTTTTGCCATGAAAGGATTCAGTACGTTTTCATTTCTTATTTCTTTACCTCCTTTGACTCATCTGTAGGAGTGGGAGTTCAGACAAAAGAAGCTCTTGTAGCATCCTGCTTAAGATTCTCTTCATATGAGATTTGGTTCATGGCCCATTTTCTGTCAGGCTTCCTGAGATGGAAAAGCAATGCATAAAAATTCTCAGGCTCCTCAGTGAATTCTCCTGAGCTGCAGACTGGAATTTACAGCTGCCTATAGACATCTCCATCTGTATGTCCTACAGGCATCTCCAACTCAGTCTGTCCCAAACCAAATTAATTACCCTCCCACACATTCATTCTCCTCCAGCCTTCTATCTGGGTTAATGCCGTTGCCAATTTACCTGATTCAAAATGTAGAAATTTCACTTCTTTTACTTTTTGTCCCACACTCCCCAAGGTCAATCTGCTGCCAATTTTTGTGGATTCACTCTGTAGTTATCTGTTTTACGCACTCTGATTTTTGACTTCTATTGTTCTGGTGAGGATCTTTGCCTCTCTCCAGAAGCACAGAAGAAGTAATCCATCTAGTCTACCTCCAGGCTGTGTGGCATCTTATAGCTCCAGAGAGCTCCATTTACCTAGACTGGGTAAGAGATGGCCTGCCCCCCAGGGTTTGTGCAATGGGTGCACCTATCTCCCTGCATCATTTCCCATTTGGCTAATCCAGTGAAATTTCTGAAACAGGCATTACTTCTTTTTCTGGAAAAACTTCAGGGGCTCTCCATGGAACCTACAGAAAAATGAAACTCCCAATCCAATTTTCACCCATTTCCTTTACCATGATTTTTTTTTTCAATTCTTATATGTTCTGTCTAACCACACTGAATCAAAATAATGTTCACTTCTTAAACCAGAGCTCATGGAATGTTCTCCATGAGGTAGCTGAGCTTCTCTCCTCCTTCCTGACCCAACTTGAAGATCATTTCCTTGGTGTAGCTGCCTTAATTCCACTTTCCTCTGCATCGTCTTCCTAAGCACGGCCTTACCCACTGCATATTCCTTTATTAGGTTTCCTGTGATTATCACAAGTGTCTCTAACCCAGATTTGACAAGGTTTAAGAACAGACATCATTTCTAATTGCCATCTCAGGTGTCCAGGGCACTTTGAATTGCCTGTTAACCAGTCTAAGAATAATCTTCCTGGGCTGGGGCTGGGGCTCAGCAGTAGCGCACTTGCCTGGCATGTGTGAGGCACTGGCTTCGATTCTCAGCACTACATATAAATAAATAAAATAAAAGTCTATCAACAACTAAAAAAATATTTAAAAAAATAATCTTCCTAAAGTTTTACTCTGAAGGTGGCAATTTTTACCAAAGAAAGCTTTAAAAAAAAAAAATCCCAGAAAAACACAGACAGCAAACTCCCTCAGCTCTGCAGCACTAAGCACACTTTTTAAAGTTCTTTGAAATTGTATTATTCCAGGTGCACTGCTACCATAAGAGTTCTTTGCGAACCCATGCTATAAATGTCACCTGTTTCCATTAAGCAAATGTATTATACATGATTGTCTAAATTTATGTTGACTCTTCTCGAGTGTGTTCAATATAGTAATATATCAAAATATCTAGTCTCAAAATGTAGAAATCAACTTTTATTTTGCAACTTAAGGACTTTTTACCATTATCCAAATAATTCAAGCAAAATTCATAGCTGCCTCAGTTACTTGGGTATTATTAGCGAAACTATGGGAGCTGGGGTGTTGAGGAAATTAGGGAAAGGGATTCTTTTGGTTCTGATTGAGCAAGTAATTCAGTTTTCTTTGAAATCTATGGATGATTTTAAATAAGGCAGTTAATTTCAAATATTGTATTCCTTAGTCATTTTTTTCTTTCTAAAGTGATAGGCATCTTACTATGTCACACTAGTGTCATCAAACTCCTGAGGTAAAGTGATGCTCCTGCCTCAGCCTCCTAAATGGCAAAGACTACAGGAGTGTACCACCATACTTTGGCTAGACCAATCTTCCTTTAAAAATTAAAATAGTTATAAAACCTGGGATATTAAATCATTAAAGAGGTATATTAACATAAATAGGCATAGTTTTATATTCTATCAAACTCTATTATTTATCATACTTCTACAAAGAAATCTTTAAAAAGCACATCTTTTTTGTCTTCTCAGGGAAAATACATACTTGTATATATTAGTTATGGAGTTTGGAAATTATTAATAACTTATTCAATCATTGCTTCTCATTCCTTTCACCCCTTGTAAACCTCTTCAAGTAGCAAAGGTGCTCATATGTACAAAAAATAGGCCCAAATCATTACTCTCTAGAAAATATTTATTGACGGTTGTTTTAATTTTCTTTCCATAATCTGAAATAAACATAACATAATACACAAAATACAGTAAAATGCACTTTTCCCATTTCAAATAAATATATTTTACCTTTGTAAAATATTAATAATCTGTGTAATTCACCACAGTATATTAATCAGTGAAATAAAGCAAAGATAATCTCTTGTTAAATTGTCACTTATTTTAATGTTTCTTACAGGCATTTTTCTGGGGACAAAGAAAACTACTTTCTGTAAAATTATATTGACTTGAAGACTGTTACTTCTTTTTGGAACAGGCAAATATAAGCTCTTTTAAAGCATGTTCATTGTCAAAAAGAATCTTTGCTTCAAAGAAAATGGCATCCAAGTCTTTACTAAATCAACTAAATTATGCGTGAATTTTCTTGTTAATACTTCCTAGAGACCAGATTGCATTCAGAATTAAAATGATTCCTATGTATCACACTGGTAATTTTCAAAATTAGTGGTTAAGTACTTAAATTAACAGTTATAATGTAGACTCAAGACAGAACTTAAAAGCTCTATGAACAGGAAAGACTAAAAAATAATGGTGCTATACAAGACAAATTTATCCTTTTCACAATTGTTAATCTTAACATTATAAGAACTGAAATCTACTGAATTATACAAACTTAGAACAGACTTATATACACATATTTCCCTGATCAGTTAAAGACAATGTGTTTGCTCTTATAGATGTTAAGAACATTTCAATAACCAGCAAAAAAATCACAATTAGGTTGACACCAATTTGAAATGTTCATATGTATAATCTAGTCACCCTCCAAAGAATACATTACCAAGTAATACAAGTCATTAGTACTGTTTAACCTCCTATGTTAGCAGTTAATTGATACATTATATACTAGCCAGTGAAAGAAAATCAACCTTTATGTAGCTCTAATCTGAATATATGTGTCTCATTTACATGGATGCAGAAATGGCAACCAAACCATACTACCTCAGAACATAACTGTATTCAGTAAAAATCTTGTAAGAGCTATAAAGTGGCTACTAGATCTGTCCTTAGCATCATAAAGGGCATCAGTTATTGTCCAGGTGGTGACATAAGAAACTTTTTCTCTCAGTTTTAAAGAGTAGAAAATAATATACTTAGACATTTTTTACATCTGCAAATTTCTGAAACAGAAAACTATAATCAAAAATTCACAAGTCCCATAAAACAAGCTTGATTCCTTCTTTGACATTTTTTATAATTCTTCCATCTCAAAGTGTGTATTAAAGCTGTTTGCCATGGATGTGTGTTCAAAAATCCTTGAAAGACTTGGTTTCAACAGTTCTACTGAGTGACATGACAGGTGCTGAGAGTTGTCATTCTTTAGGGACATCATTTGGTCTGTCCCTGGCTCCCTTCTGTCATAATACAGAGCCCAGAGCAGAGTAATGGTGAGAATCATAGCCAGGATTTGTGTCACTCCAATAGAGATCCCTAGAAATCTTAGTACTTGCAGTTGTTTGGTTCCTCTCAGAAAAGAATACATTTTCTTCCCACAACCCTGTAAAAGAAATAACATAAATCAATATTACTGTAGATATGTTACAGAGGGTCAAAAGTAATGAAAACAAAGAATGTGTCAGTTAACTAGAATCATAAAGTTAAAACAATAAGTCTCAACAGGAAAGGCTTCTGAGAAGATGGAGGAGAGAAGGAGGAATGCACCTTTTAAAAAGCCTGCTTAGCTGATTCTGATGAGCCTGTCCCTTCTTTCATTGTCTACACAACCAGAAATTAAGACTCACTGGTATGATGTCTTACGTCTAGTACAGAGATTGGCAATCATTTTTTTTTAATTTAATTTTTTTTTTTTTTTTGCAAAGGACTCAATAGTAAATATTTCAGGGTTTTTTTTTTCCAGGCTGTACGACCTCTATTGCAACTACTTGTTTCATCCACTGTAATATGAATTCAGCCATGTGTAAATAAATGAAAGTGAGTATGTTCCCAAAAAACCTCATGTGCACCAGAAGGCACTGGGCCAGATTTGGCTGCTCATAGGCAATAGATTGTTGACCCTGGATTCAGACTGATCTAAATTTTTCTAAAACAATATTATTATTGTTGTTGTTTTTATTGTGTTCATTGTTGAATTATAGCTAATTTGAGCAGACTTTTCCCCAGTGATCAGAAGCATTTCCACAATTGGCTGCTGGAATGTGATGACAGATAGAAATCACCCTACACATCCCACCTCATCCTCTTTCCTGGCCTACGGCAGAAATACACATGAAATTATTATCATGAACCAACTTCTAGTTCTACCAGGCAAGGATCCGAAACACATCTTTAGCTCCTGTACAAGTCAGAAACACTTAAGAAAGAATGAGAAAGGTTTTTGTTTGCATTTTAAATATAAAAGCCTAAGAGTTCCCATGGCTGATATCAAAACCAATTCTGAAGGGAGAGGAGAGGAGGAAAAGTGTAGGAGAAGGAAAAATCATGACAAAAGAAAAATAGGTGAGGGGGAACAAAGGAGGTAAACTGTCACTCGAAACTGTTGTGTCCCTCTTGAGGGATCAAAGCATACTCGCCTTATCTCTAGTAACCAGTGTCTCAAGTGACCAAGCAGCAATGCCTTGTGTCTAGTATCCACAGTAAAGAAATAATTCACTCTCTTAAAGGGAAATTAATTGTAAATTAAAGTGAAAAGCTGAGAAAGCTCTTTATAACAAATTTTAAGAACCTTGAAAATTCTGAGATTTTACGATACTTGGAAGCTAACAAATTAGGCTGCCATTCAATGGCTGCTGGCAGAAGACAGAGACATTGGATTGTATTACTGTTAGCAATGGCAAACGCCCGAGAAAATGTCAGTTCCTCAAGTTCCAAGGACAACATGTAGAAGGTCAGATGATGTCTGCACACACAGAAGGCTGTGTTATGGAAGAAGAATCTAAATCTAAGCTAAGGGAACCCTCATCTTTGGTAATGGGCAATAAGCATATCTGCCTTTTACCTTAGAGAGGATTACCTTTACTGTACTAGACAGTATACAAACCTGCCATTTTCTAGGATGGGAGAAAATATATCTATTTTCTAGGCTGTTTTCTTTGTATACATCCCAGACAGTTCAGATCAATGGCATCCACAGTCTTTGTCACTAGAAATGCAGAAAGTGAGCAGTCTTAAAAAATTATCTCCTAGCAAGAACTTGACTTTGAAAGTTCTTATTTATTCGGTGTAGTAAGAATGACTCAGTGCTTATCCAATAGCAGTAGTTATTTGAATGAGAAGAAATGCATAATTATTTAAATTATTTTGTTCCAAAAGAACTCACTAAGCCAACTAAAGCAAGACTATTTAGTCAGTTGTTAATTTCTACATTATTTTGGTGGTGAGAAAGGAATAAATATAATTCTTCCATTTCAAAGATACTTATTGCTACCTTCCCCAATAAGGAATTACTCTAGAGAAATTAAAAAATCAGGTAAAATTAGTTATGGACACTTCTAAATAACTCCATTTCTCTGGTATGACCTGCAATAAAAATTAACAGCAAATGATAAGCAAATGTTTATCTATTTTACCAAAAGTGAAATTAAAATATTTATGATTTTATAGTACCTAAGTGGATATTATAATGTCACTTCTGACTATTATACATACAAGAAATATATTCACATAGACATACATATATTCTGAGTGAAATCAAAATATATGTCACAAAACAATTTAACAAATTTTAAGTACTTTTCAAACAGTTCCACTTGGGTATTCTATCAGAGCCCATTCACTTTTATGTTTATGTATAATTTAACAAGCATTTTAATGTGAAACAATAGAGTATAACAGTTAAGATGTGAACTGCAGAGACAATGGTCTGAATTGAAATCCCTATTCTGTTACTTATAAGCCTTGTGACTTTGGGCAAGTTACTTAATCCCTCTGTGCTTCTGTTTTCTCATCAGAAAACCCGGATGGTAAGGGCACCTACCTGTTTGGGATATTGGGAGGATTAAATGAATAAATACTTAGAATGATGTCTTGTGCATGGCAAGAGGCCAGTGGGGTACCAGATATTACTTGGTGTGTCAGGTCACAGATTAGAATACTCAAATTAAAAACAGGTGAAAAATCTGTGACCAACAGATATTTATGGGAAAGTATGAGGCACAACAATTTGTAAGATGCTACAAAAACACCAAAAGCAGAGCATGTGTCACCAGTAAATACTGATGTCACATTCCCAGTGGCTGTCACTGTTTTTTGGAACAGTAAAGTCATTCATGCAAAATGATTATCTTCCACTGAGACATTAGATCACTAGCATCCTGATTAAGCAGAGAAATATCTAACAAAATCTGGAAACATACGCCCCCAAAATAGTTAAATTAAAAAAGGTTCACAGGAGACAAAAGGCCTAGGTTGTTGGCTCTGAACAAGTTTTAACTTCTGCTTGCTTATGTGTAAATTAGAATTATATCCAACATACCTGACAGATTGTCAAAAGTCTTCTATGAGCAGATAATTATGAAATAATTAAATGAATTAAATATTTAGAAAAAAAAGGTTTGATCTCAAAATGGAAAATTGAGATATGAATACTTCATATAACATTATTGACAAGCAATGTGGTACTATAGTCTCACACCTGATTTTCAAGGAATTAATAAAAAATGGCTTGGATCATGTGGCTGACCCCTACCTGTGTTCTCAGTATTTAATATAAAGATTGATGGTCAGAAAATTAGTATGGAAGATCAATATTTTGGGTTATGATAATTACAAGGAATATCAGAATTAAAAATAAGCCACTCAAGGATATAAAATTTAAGTTATATAAAAATAGTTCAAGAAATCTATTGTTAAACCTGATGATCATAATTAATAATTAATATGTTTAAAAAAGCAAATCATTCAAGAAATACATATGCTGATGATTCAAACCTATGAAATTCTATCAGTCAATTATCACTTAATTTTTACCTTGTTAATAATCTCTGGGCTTAAATTTTACCCATAAATTTCTCTCTCTCTCTTTTTCTTTTCTTTATTGGTAAAGTTCTCCTATCCCTTTGGACTAATTCATTTTAAGCTAAGAAATTACACAGAAGAGGTGATTTTTAAAGCTACGAGTAAAACAAAGTAGAAATTAGTAACAAAGTACAGTCTATTGTGCTTCCTATTTTCACATTGTGGAAATTTCATTTCAATATTTTTAGAGTAATCATATTTATTTTTTAAAAAGTCATAGTAGATCATATTTCAAAGGATGGTTTGGGAATTAGATGTATTAGTTAACAACTTTCCATTTTTAAAAATTTATTTATTGTTCTAATTTGTTATACATAAAAGCAGAATGAATGCATTTCAATTCATAGTACACATATAGAGCACAATTTTTCATTTCTCTGGTTGTACACAAAGTAGAGACACACCATTAGTGTCTTCATACATGTACTTAGGGTAATGATGTCCATCTCATTCCACCCTCTTTCCCATTCCATCCCTCCTCCCTTCCCTTCCCTCCCCTTTGCCCTGTCCAATTTCCATTTTTTTTTTTAAGCACAGCTAAAAGCACTTCTGGATTGACATCAGCTAAATGCACACAGTTAGGACTTCTGAATAGTCTCTCTTCCATATAAGCAGTGAAAGCAGTAGCCAAAAATGGAGAATCAACTTTTTCAGAACTCTGGAAATGGGCCAAAGGCTTACAGCAATCTGAGCAGCATTTATGCAAGTAAAGCATCTAAATTTCAGTAAGAATTATAAGCTTTGTGACATTTTTATTTGCCCTCTTCCTAGTCTTCCTCCTCAGCTCATTGGGAGTACTGAAAATCATGGTGAAAACTGGCAGACTCATGCCTACCAGAGGGGCAAAATGAGGTTGGAGCTTCTGTAAAAAGCCTCATTCTCAATGAGAACTGTCATTATTTATTAGGTCCGGTGATCCCCTAGAAGACCTCACTTATAAGGCTGTCTTTATTTGACCTGAGCTCAACTGGGGGAATAACCTTTTCTCCTGAGAAGGTTTACCAAAGACAATCAGAGGCTGCTGCTGATCACTGAGGCTGTAAAGCATTTCATAAAAGTTGCACACTATGAAGCTGACCAAAAAGCTTAAAAGAAAAAGGTAGGCATTGGTAAGTCCATAGTGGGCTTGGCAAGGTTCGGACATGGGGATCTAGAAAGTTATATACATGCCCAGAGCTACACATATGCTCTGGAAAGAACCAAAAAGAGCCTAAGATCTCACCTCTGGGTAGCCTTGAGGTTCTGTGTGATTTTGGCAAAGCCTGTGAGAATTATTGGTTTCACATATCTAAAGAAATCTGTTCACTCATTTATTGACCACTCAGCTATCTGAGCAGTGACTTCAGTGACCACACATGACAAAGAATACAGGCTTTACAGAATTAGTTTAGAAAAGTCCTTAATTAACAAATAATAACAATAAACGTTGGAGGGAGTGGAGAGAATCTCATATCCAAAATTGTTGCATTAAATTATTTAAAATGTCTAGTTTTCTACTAAGGAAAAAAAATCATAAGACTTGAA